AAGAGGAGTTCTCGCCGTACATTGACCAGATCAAGTTTAGCCACTACTTCAACGGTGCACTTTCAGGCTCTGACTCAATGGAGGCTAAGGTGCCGCGAGGTGGCGGCTGGACGAGAGACCTTCGAACTGCTCACGCCTATGAGGTGCCAATTGGCGGCTCTCATGCTACCTACAACGCCTATCACGCCTATCACTTTGCCGGCGGTGAGGTGCGACCGCGGAATATGGCGGTCAGGGTGTGGAAGCGGACTGGCTGAGCATTGTTGTACAAGATTAAAAAAGTGGAAGATATACAAAAAAACAGTTTTTAAAAGTGTTTACTGCGTTGTACTTCTTCTATTATCTATTACATTTATTGCTAAAACGTTTGTTTTAAGTGCCAATTAAGCGTTTATCAATTTTATTTGGAAAAGTGCGTTGCAGAGCGGTTGAGTGTTAGGCTGGAGTGTATTTAAATCAAAAATTAAATGTCTGCACAAAGCAAACCCAATTAATTTTTTACTTTTTGTTTTAAAGCAGTCTTAAACGCTAAAACTATGAATTGTTTTTTAACTACTTTAGTTGTTTCTCTGCTCTTTGCTGCACCTTTTGGTAACTACTTTTTTGCATTACTTTTTTATGTAAATTATTAAAATAACAAAATCATTTTATAGCCGCTGAAAATGTTTGCGGCGACTGGGAGCCGTATCGTGAGAGTAAGTGCGTCAAAGTGATGGACAAAACTCCGCAGCAAACTTTTGCCGATGCGGAGAAAACCTGTGCAGCGGCTGCTGAAGGCGGAAAACTGATCTCCATCCAAAGTCCCGATGNTTTTGCCGATGCGGAGAAAACCTGTGCAGCGGCTGCTGAAGGCGGAAAACTGATCTCCATCCAAAGTCCCGATGAGCAGTCCTTCTTCAGCAACTTTCTTTATACTAAAAAACATGTTGTGGACAACCTCTGGCTGGGTGGCCACTTGGTGACCGGAGGAAAACAAGTTTTTCAGTGGAAAGACGGCAGCAATTTCACCTTTGCAAACTGGGCTTCTGGCAACCCAAAAAACAATCCCTCTGACAACTGCATTCAAATGAATGCCGACGAGGAGGTACGTGCAAAGTGGACTAACGTCCCCTGCACCAAGAAGAATTTGGTGGTGTGTGAGAAAAAGCAAACT